ACAGTAGGCAGACAGACGGATAGCAAGGGGGGCCGTGGCTATGTAATTAAGGTGGCAAATTTCCAAGATGGCTGACGTCTTCCTTACCCTCCTAACGGGCTTTTGTCTCCCACCAGCAGGCCCCTGCTGGTGGACTGGCTCACCCTTCCCAGGGCAAAATCATAACACTCTACAGTTCTGGGCCAATCCACCACCCCAGCTTTCTTCAAAATGACCAGCCCTAAATTAGGGGACAAAACCTCCACAGAGACTCTAGAACCCCAGCCCTCGGGAAGAGACTGGAGCTGTTGGCTTTCTGAGTCCCCCCTGCTTTGCAGAGGGTCTTGTTCCCTGCATGCCTGCTGCATGCCTGTCTCCTCGCGCCCACAACCACCTTGCTTCTTCTGCTGAGTCTGTCTGCGGGTGTGAGATTTCTCTGCGGCTACCTGTTGCGCTTCAGAATTTTCCTGCCTTTTAATTCTTTAACTGGCAGAGAAAATCAGCCTGATCAAGACCCCTAGGCTGTATCTTTTGGGGGGCTCATCTCTGCTTTCTTCCGAAGACTGGGTCACATACAGCCCAGCCCAGCCTGGTTCACTCTCAGCAATGATGGGAAGAGATCTTTGACCCGGATGTTCCTTCCATGGTTCTTCTGTGGCAAGGGTAAGGGGGTTGAAACAGGATCTCATGGAGTAACCTTGGCTGTCCTGGCGCTCCCTGCATAGATCAGGCTGGCGTTGAACTCAGAGATCTGCCTGCCTCTCCCTCTTGGGATCTGCTGGGATTAAAGGCTTGCTCAGCACTGCCGGCTTGTTACAAAGTTCTCCTACATCACCTTCAAACTGTTTCCAAGTGCACTCACTGCAAAGGAAAAACAAACAAAATCTTGTCAATTACTTGGCCTACAAAGACAGGGGCTGAGGTCACAGCGGGAGGATGAGTCCCTGTCTCTGCCTGCCACCAAGATGCAAACTTTGTCTTGGCTGGTTTTTCAACATCAAGGTCCCAGGTAACCCAGGCTGGCCTCTATGTAGCTGAGGATGACCCTAAGTGCCTGATCCTCCTGCCCCTACCTGCTGAGTACTAGAATTACACACCACACCTCTGGCAAGGGAGACCTCCTTAAAGGGTCCATTTGTGCCGGAAGTGCACTTCTGGAAACCCTGGAAATCCTGGGCTTGGTTCTCTGTGGCCACGCCAGAGAAAGATAAAGCCAGGGTTGCAGCTTTAACCTTACTTCTAAATCCCACTCAGAAGCTGAGGCGGTTTGGACAGGAAATGTCCCCCAGAGGCTCAGCCACCTAAAGGTAAGTGGTCCCCAGTTGGTGAATCTGTTTGGGGAGGGTGCACACCTGGCTGGAGGGAGTGTCAGGCTTTGGGGGTGTGTGCGAGACTGTGTCACGCCCAGTGACCTCACGACCCTCTCTACCCCAACAAACCCAGGGCATAGGTCCCACTCTGCGGCCACTCAGGGGTCCCCTCAGCTGTGGCTGTGGGCCACAGTGGGGCTGGACTCAGACAGCCTGGCCTGGGTCCTGATCCCTTTCTGCGAGCCAGGGAGAGACAAGACCTGTGAGCAGCAGGTCCTGGGTCAGTCAGACAACCTCTGCAAATGGGGGCAAGCGCTGCTGCTGCTGCTGCTGCAACCGCCCACCTTTGAGGAACTCAGCTGCAGGCAGTCCAGGCTCTGGCTCTTGCTCTGCACCAATCAGTGTGCAGTGCTCCCCCAGGCTGCTTCTGGGGGTCTGGAAAGCCCACCAGAAGGAAGGGATTCTTCAAATGAGCAACCGAATTTTTAGATGGAGAAACTGCAGCAAGGAGGACAGTTGTCCGTTGTCACCAGGCTGACGAGACACACAGACAGTCTATTTCTGACTGAAGACATAATTCTAGCAGTCAGGCTTCCTCCTTGGTCCCTGAGATTGAGTCCCTAGGCTTGGGGATGTGTTTCAATTTCCTGATCCTCACCATGTAGGTTATGGGATCTGCCAAATAGAGGATGCCGGGAGCGGGAGCCTGATGGAGTTGTTGGGATCAATCAGTTGTTAGGCAGATGTTACAATGTTACAGAGGAAGGTCTAGTGTCTAGTGGTCTTTCAAAGCTAGGGACTAGAATTTACAAGAAAATACCAGGAAGGGGGCTGGAAAGATAGCTCAGAAGACTGGGTTCTTTCCCAGCACCCACTTGGTGGCTCACAATCATCTGTAACTTCACGTTCCAGTTGATGCCCTCTTCCCAGCTCTGAGAAGACAGGCATATGGTGCACAAACATTTGTGAGGGTAAAACAGCCACGTACACACACAGTGCATAAATATTGCTTTCTAAAATGATACTGTAAAAATAAATAACCAGGCACATAGTAGGTGTTTTGCTGATTGGATCCACTGAGCAAGCTGTGTGGCCTTAGCCAAGTAGGTGACCTCTCTGTGACACCAGAATACGTGACTAAGAGGAACTTGGGGGACTAGGCAATCTTTGTCCTCTGAAAGTAAATTCAATTTCAGAAAACAGGTAAATTCACGTGGAATGGAGTCTGGTGATGGAGGCCAGGGATCCAGTTGAGAAATGTCCCTTTGAGTTGAAAGCAGTGGTAATTACAGAGCCTCAGCCTGTTTGTCCGGCAGCCTACAGTCCAGGAGCAGGCGATCAAAGTGCCTGCTGCTTATCTGGGGCCCAGACCTGTCCCTCATCCCTGCACCAGAGACTCAAACCCAAAAGTCACCTCTGACCCAAACCCTCAGGCCACCAACCCTGGGGCTGCCCCTGGGAATTCAAGTACTGCTCTCGAGGGGAAGGGATTTAAATGCAGTCTACTCAAGCTGACTCTAGTAATTATTTATCTTTTGTTTATTGAGTGTGTGTGTGTGTGTGTGCCTGCATGCACGTGTGGAAGTCAAGCGAGGGCTTGCTGGAGTTGGTTGTTGCTCCCTCAAGGTGAATTCTGGAGACTGAATGCAGGTCTTCAAGCTTGGCAGTCAATGCTTTTACTCACTGGGCCATCTCGCCAGCCTTTGTTTTTTGTTTGCTTGTTTGTTTTTAATATTTATTTTTATTAAGTTTTGTTTTGAGGGGCTGGAGAGATGGCTCAGTGGTTAAGAGCACTGGCTGCTCTTGCGAAGGACCCAGGTTTAACTCCCAGCACCTACATGGTGGCTCACAGCCCCAAGGGATCTGTGGCCCTCTCCTGGCCTCTGTGGATGCTAACATACATTCAGGTAAGCATGTGCATGATAAATAAACAAAAATCTCAAAACATCTAAAATACTGAAAAGCTCTTTTGAAAATTATGTGCATGTGTGCTGAAAGTTGTGTGTGCACATGGATGCGCATATGTATGTGTACATGTGTGTACATGTATGTGTGCACATGTGTGCGCATGTGTATGTGTACACGTGTGTGCACATGGATGCGCATATGTATGTGTACGTGTGTGTGCACATGGATGCGCATATGTATGTGTACGTGTGTGCACATGGATGCGCATATGTATGTGTACGTGTGTGTGCACATGGATGCGCATATGTATGTGTACGTGTGTGTGCAGGTGTGTGTACATGTATGTGTGCGTGCACACGCCAATACAGGTGCCACAGGTGCCAGCAGCAGCAGATTCCCGGAGCTTGATTGCGGGCGGTTGTGAGCTGCCCAATGCCGGTGCTGGGAGTAGAAAACCGTCCCTTGGCAACAGCAGTACATGCTCTTGGACACCGAGCCTTCTCTCCAGCCGCCTTCTTTGTAGGGAGGTCTGTCTTTTCCGACGGTCCAGCCATAACTTTTCCAGTCGCCGCTTTGTGGTGCCCAGCCGGGCCTTTGCTTCTAGAGTGCTAGGATTCGAACTGCCACGGCAGGTTTTTTGTTTTGTTTTGTTTTTTTTTAAGATGGGAGGAGTGATCTCAAATTTGTGGTTCTCCTAACGCCACCTGCCTTCCAAGAACTGTAATGATAGGCATAGTCCCCAGCCCAGAAACTATTTATCTTCTAAAATATTCAAAATTGTGTGTTAAAGTCAGGCAGTGGTGGCACACACCTTTGATCTGAGCTCTCAGAGGCGAAGGCAGGCAGATCTGAGTTTGAGGACAGCCTGGTCTACAGAGCAAGTTTCAGGATAGCCAGGGCTACACAGAGAAATCCTGTCTCAAAAAAAAAAAAAAAAAAAAAAAAAAAAAAAAACTAAAAGTATAATAATTTTATAATGAATGTTATTACAATATTAAATGTGGGCTGGAGAGATGGCTCAGCTATTAAGGCCACAAACTCCTGCAGGGGACCCAAGTTCTGTGTCCTGCACTCACACTGGGCAACTCACATAGGCCTAGGCCTATCACCTCCGCTTCATAGAATCCACGTCCTTCTGGCCTCTGAGGACACCTGCACTCAAGTGCACACACCCACACACAGACACACATGTATTATTATATAATTAAAAATAATAGCCGGGCGATGGTGGCGCACGCGCCTTTAATCCCAGCACTCGGGAGGCAGAGGCAGGTGGATCTCTGTGATTAAGGCCAGCCTGAGCCTGGTCTACACAGTGAATTTCAGGCTAGCCAGAGTTACATAGTAAGACGAGGGGAAATAATAACTAATTAATAACCTAGGACCTGGAAGATGGAGGCAGGAGAATCAGTTCAGCTGCGTAGTGAGTTTGCGGCCAGTATTTGAGGGAGACACTGGTTGGGAGGTTGGGGACTACTGGAGAGTCAGTCTAACCTTTTGCTCTCCAGTCCCCCACCCCCACTGAAGTGTTCCATAGGGAAGCGCCTCATTTAGGTGGAGGGTCCTTCGGGCTGGGCTGCTGTGCTGCGTTGTGTGTTCAGATCCTCCCCTCAGAGGCTGAGTCCCTGGGCTGGAGCGCCTGGTCTTTAGAAGTGAGTCCTAGCCCGGACGGCGGCGCAGGTGGGGAGAAGCTGAGCTGAGATTAGCTACTGGGGGGAGGGGAGGGATGAGAGGTTGTTAACAACCAGGCACGGGAGAGGAGGAGTGACCGCAACAGGACAGGCACAGGCGCTCAGGAGCACCATGCCTCTGCAGGAGGAGACCCTCCGGGAAGTGTGGGCCTCAGACAGGTGGGAACCCCCACATCGTCCCATGTGAACCCCAGGCCCCATTTGCAGGACCACAGTGGTGGTAGCGGGGTGGGGGGAGTAGACCGCAAGAAGGGAACAGCCTGGTTCCATTGTACCCTCAGTAGCCAGGAAGAGGACTGGTTGAGCCCGGAACCGCAGCAGCGCCCCAAGCAGGTGTGTCAACAAATCTGGGGTTTGGAAAGGAGGCACGAAGGTGCCCCTCGGGGTACACAGGAAGGGAGCTGTAGGGGAGAGGTCCTCTCAGCTCTTTACCCGGAAAGGTTAGGAGAAGAAAGGGGGGTTAGGAATGGGGTGCCCAGGAACATTTGGGGGGGCTTTGGGTCTTAGAAGTGGCTGTCATGCGAGTATGGGTCATCCACACTGAGAAGGGACTGCAGCACCCCTTGGGATAATCCGAGGCTATTTCTGGTGGCCCCAAGGGATTAGAGGGGGATAGGAGCCCCAGAGTCCCCTTCTCTCCTGGTGACCCCTATTTCACAGCGACCTACCCAGGGACAGAAATTGAGGAAAAAGAAGTCCGAGACTCCGGGGTCTCAGGGATCCAAGCCCCGCAAAGCTGGAGGTGAGTCCTGGGGGATGCGCGGGAGGGTGTGGGCCGGGGAGGCTGAAGTGGGGACCTCTGAGACAGAACTCTGCCCACACATCTGGTCCAGCTGGGTGCAAGAAGCTCGAGGAGCCGCCTGCAGACCCCGCAGAGGCGCGCACTGTGCCGACAGTCTACGCCAAGTTCCTTCGGGACCCCGAGGCCAAGAAGCGGGATCCCCGGGAAACCTTCCTGGTTGCCCGCGCCCCAGATGTGGGAGGCGGTGAGTGAGGCGTAGGGAGGGAGGGGAGGACAGTGTGAGCAGTGGTCACCCAGGCCAGGGGTGGGTTCCCCTGCTCTATCTCTGTTACACTTATGGAGAAACTGAGGCAGCATGGGTCCAAGTTTAAAAGCCTTGAGCTACAGTTAGTAGTCAAAGTACCCCAGATGGTGGTAAAGGTGAGAAGGCAAGTCAGGAGGGAGCAGAGCAGGGTGCCGCCCATCGCAGCCCTGTGCAGGAAGGGGCTTGAAGCCCCTCAGCACCCTGCAGGGTCTGGATCTCTGGAGCCTGTATTACAAAGAGTATTCTATCCATAGTGGAGGATTTGGAGGAGGATTCCGATGAAGAGGATGACGAGGATGACGAGGATGAAGAGGATAACGAGGATGAAGAGGATGAAGAGGGTGAAGAGGATGAGGAAGAGGGGGAAAAAGAGAAAAGCTCTCTATCCCCCAAGAGTCCACCCAAGAGAAGAGAGAAGAAAGCCAAAGCCCTAGACCCGCGGGGTAGGTGCAGGGAGCCTTCAGGAACCCACCCACTGGCAGGCAGAAAGAGCTCCCAGCAGCGGTGGGTGCAGAGTTCTCCCCTGGTCCTCTCTCTTCAATGCCAGTCCCTAGGTCCCTAAGGAGATCAGTTCTCAAGGCTGCGGCACACTACAAAGGCACGCCAAGGAGGAAGGTTCTGTTTTCTTTATGGGCTTTGCTTTGACTTCGTGTGGATTATAATTTGTTTTGTTTTTTTGTTTGTTTTTCGAGACAGGGTTTCTCTTTGTAGCCCAGTACTGCCTGGGCTACAGAAACTCACTCTGTTGACCAGGCTGGCCTCGAACTCAGAGATCTGCCTGCCTCTGCCTCCTGAGTGCTGGGATTAAAGGCCTGCGCCACCAGAGCCTGGCTAACGTTATAATTTTTATTAAGTAGACAGAAGTAAAAGGAAATCCCGACTAAAGACGGTGAGGGCTCCCAGCCTGGAAGGTCTGGTCAGAAATGTGTGCCATGCTGGGTCGGATCTCAGTGGAGCGTCTGAGGCTGAGCTCATGGCTGGGGAGGGTCCCTGGAAGAGGGACTGACTGGAGGAGGACTAAGGGCTGAAGTGACAGCCTGGCTTCCCTTCGTTCCCTCACTCATTCCTTCCATGCCTCTGAAGCTGATTCCTAGCCAGATCGTTATTTTAGACTCAGAAGAAAGTAACTTCAGAACCATGGACCACAGACCCCTGTCTGGTGTTCAGCACTCTGGTAACTGCAAGCTGAATGACAGGGTTAGAAGGTGATCCTTGGCCCAATAGGTTTCTTCTTTCCCGACCCCCCCAAACCTCCTATTCCCAGGGGACCTAGGAAGCCCTGAAGCCCCCCGAAAACCATCCCACACCAAGAAGAAGGAGGCAGGGGAGGGAACCAAGCTGAAAAAGGCAAAGAAGAAAGGTAAGGGGGAGGGGTGGATACTGACAGACTGATGGACGGAGGACAGGGGTCGTTGGGTGTGTTGAAATGGTGACCCCCTTCTTGTATCCTCTCTGCAGGGGCTGGGGAGGCTGACAAGGACCCCTTGAGAAGTCCAGCAGCCCTGAGGAAGAAGACTCCAGCAGCCATGTTCCTAGTTGGGGAAGGTGGCCCAGCAGAGAAGGATGTGAAGAAGAAAGGTGCGTGGCGGAAGGGTGGCGGGACCATGGGCATGATGTGTGCTGTGAGGAGTGAGGGGGGCAAGAGCTGGACCCTGTGGGGGCATCCTGACACCCTTGTTCTGACAGCCAGGTGGCCTTTCTGAGGCTCTGATCAGAACCTTTTTATGGCGTGGAGAGGATTAAAGGGGAGCATGGGTGTGGGGAACATCTGGCCAATCAGGATGAAGGGTCTACAGCCTTTCTCCCTCCATGTTCAGGGCCTGCCAAAGGCTCAGAGGAAGAGACGAAGGAGGAAGGGGAGGAGGAAGAGGAGGAAGAGGAGGAGTCTTCAGCGATGAAGAATAGCAACCAGAAGGGCCGAGCGAAAGGGAAAGGCAGAAAGGTTGTCACCCGAGGGGCAGGTGTGGGGGACTTCGGGGGTAAGGACTTAGCTCCCCACCCATGACTGGGCACACAGCCTAGGAGCATTGGGCTCAAAGGGACAGAGGAGGCATGGCTCAGGCCACCCATGGCCCTTACATACTCTGCCATCCAGGCCTCCCCTCTGCGGTATGACCATCACCCAGTGAAGAGACACATGTTAAAATACCAGGGAAGGACCAGGCAGTGGTGGCACAGGCCTTTATTCCCAGCACTCAGAGAGTTCCAGGACAGCCAGGATTGTTACTCAGAAAGAACCTGTCTTGAAAAAAACAAAACAAAACAAACAAACAAACAAAAAAAACAGGGAGGCTGAGCACACAGCAGCAGGACTCTGGGTTTCGGGAGGGTGCAGGTAGGGGAATGGGATGGGATAAGGTCTTGCTATGTTGCCAAGGCCAGTCTGGAACTCCAGATCTTTCTACCCTCACTGGTACTGGGATTTCAGGTGAAAGTCTAAGTCTGCATCTGGAAGGCACATCTTATACTCCTTTGAGGCACCGAGTGGCCGGAAGTTGGCTAGCGGGAGCCACTGTTAAAATACTTCACCCTGTTTGCCCTCAGGACCTCTAGCCTCCCAGCCAGGAAAGAGCCCTAGCTCCATGTGCCTACAACCCCAGCGCATGGGTGGTAGAGGCGGCAGGATCAGGTGTGTAGAGCTAACCTCAGCTACACAGTGAGGTTGATGGCCTACATGAGACCCTGTCTCCAAAAGCAAGGCTGGAGAGATGACTCAGCAGTTAAAAGCATTGGTTGCTCTTGCAGAGGAACCGGGCTTGATTCCCAGCACCCGCAGGGCACCTCAGCTTTCCAGTCCCAGGGGATCTGACCTGTAAGCACTGGGCATGCATGAAGTACACAGACACATATAGGGAAAACACTCACACAAATTTTTTGAGACAAGTTTCTTTTTCTTCTCTTTTCTTTTCTTTTTTTTTCTTTTTTTTTTTTTTAGAGTTTTTGCTTCTTTGTACTTTTTTAAAACGATTTATTTATTTATTAAGCATACAATGTACTGCTGGCAAGGAAGGCACCAGGTCTCATTACAGATGGTTGTGAACCACCTTGTGGTTGCTGGGATTTGAACTCCGGACAGCCAGTGCTCTTACCCTCTGAGCCATCTCTCCAGCCCCGAGACAAGGTTTCTCTGTGTAGCTTTGGAACCTATTCTGGAACTTGCTCTGTAGACCAGGCTGGCCTCGAACTCACAGAGATCCACCTACCTCTGCCTCCCAAGTGCTGGGATTAAAGCTGTGTGCTACCACTGCCTGATGAAAAAAATAGATCTTTAAGGAAAGTAACCAATTAATCTCTGACTGCCTAAGGCTCCAGAATCTTTGCCAAAGCTTAGAGTCTATTCTGATTGGACATCTTCCACTGTCAAGACATGTCGCTAAGGACTTTGAATGACAACCTATGCACACATAAGGAGGCCTGGCTGAGAGTTAAACTCTCCTCGAGAGGGAGAGACCTCCAAGAGCCAGCCCTGGACTGAGCTCTGTGGGTTTAGTAGTTTGTGTGGGAGTGTCAGATCTTCGGGGATGGATTCGTGTCAACCAAGATCACTGCGATTGCTGTCCGGGGTATTTTATCCCAGGTGGAAACGGCCCTCCCCACAGCGGGCGTCCACACTCACAGGTGCAGAGATGTTTGAGTCAGTGCTGACTTTTCTCACTTCGCATTCCAGACATAGTCTTGTGTTTCCCAAGTTTCTTCTGGAGCTGGCTGGAGCACAGTCAAGATGGTCATGTGCCCCTTGGCCAAGGGCCCCAGGCTGTGTTCTACCACATGCAGCGTAGGATTGCCCCCAGCAGAAGGCTCCTCAGCCCTCACAGATAACTTTGAGGCCTCAGGTGTTGACGCCCCCAGCCTGATAGGTCAGTCGCTCCCCTGAGGAGTCCTGGCTCCTCTCATGGAGCAGCAGGAGAAAGGTCGCAAGGTCTCACCCTGCCTCCTTCTGTAACTGAAGTGTTACTAGGAAATTCTCCAAGCTGACAGGTTCCTGAGTCAGCCAAGTCTTGCGTGAGTCAGCTAGGTCTTGCTGCATAACAAATGGCCTCCAAGCTTTAGCGTCTTCAACTAAGGAGCCAGCTTTCCTGCTTAGTCTCTAAGGGTCATAAATCTAGGGACGGCTTCACAGAACCTTGTGAGCTCAGGGTGTCACACGAGGTTGTACTTACCTAAAAGACTGACTTGGAGTGGACCGTTCATTTCTAAAGTGGTTCAGCCATGGTTGTTGGTTGGAGGCCCTTCTTCCTTTCTACAGAGACCTCTCCAGTAGGCATGGCATGACCCCCGTTTCTATAGAACAGGGATGGCTAACCCAGTGTGTTAATGAGAATGCAGAGCGCTAGGCATGGTGGGACACACCCCTACTCAAAGCACTGGGAGGCCCAGGAGGATTGCAGTGGAGCCAGCCTGGGCTACAGAGACTTTGAGGCTAACCTTGGCCTTGGCCTTGTAGTGAAATCTCAAATAAACAAATTAAGGGCTGGAGAGTTGGCTCAGTGGTTTAGAGCATTTGCTCCTCCCACAGAGCACCTGAGTGCAGTTCCCAGCACCTGATGGCTCTCAATAATTTATAACTACAGTTCCAGGATATATATATATATATATATATATATACATATATATATATATACACATATATACATATATATATGTATATGTATATATGTGTGTGTGTGTATTTGGTTTTTCAATACAGGGTTTCTCTGTATAACAGCCCTAGTTGTCCTGGAACTCATTCTGTAGACCACGCTGGCCTTGAACTCACAGAGATCCTCCTGCCTCTGCCTCCTGAGTACTGGGATTGGGATTGATTAAAGGCACCACCGCCCAGCACCAGGAGATCTTGTAACCTCTTCTGGCCTCCAGGGCACCAGGCACACGTGTTGCACAAACAGACTTGCAGACTAAACGCTCACATCTATTATAAAAAACAAACCCAAAAACCCTATCACCAGAACAGAGCCAGATGTGGTAGATAGCTCATAGCTGTTGTCCCAGAACTTGGGAGGTAAAGGCAGGAGAATCAGGAGTTTGAGGCCAGCCTCCAGAACACAGTGAGTTCAAGGTCAGCCTGGGCTTTCTGAGACCTTATCTTTAAATATGAAAATGGGGTTGGAGACATGACTTAGCAGTTAAAAGCACAGGCTCTTCTTCTGAGGACCAGGATTCAATTCCCAGCACCCACATGATGACTCACAACTTCCTGTAACTCAAATTCCAGGCAATCTGACACTGTAACACCAACATGCAGGCAAAACACCAATGCACACAAAATAAAAATGAATTAAATATATATATCATAAAAATGGAAACAAAAAAGTTGTATCTAGCTGACCGATCCTTAGTGGTGGAACATGAACTCAAACTGGGACTGTCTGGGTTCAACCTAAATAGTTATAATACATTGCAGAATTCCAGAGCCTTCTCTCATGAGGTTGGGCTTCTGGGCTGTGGGGGATGGAGGTGCCTCCACCCAGGACCTATCTCTTTTTTCCCTCCAGAAAGTGGTGAGTGATGGCCTGTCCTGCCTGGGGTGCAGAAGGGGACCTATGAAGTGGGGGGTCCTAGCTGATGCACCGTCTGCCTGTGCAGAAGGAGGACAGGGCTTCGTCTCCCCCCTTGGAAGTGGGTGAACCTCGGGAGTTTGTGCTACAGCCAGCGCCCCAGGGCAGGGCAGTGCGCTGCCGGCTGACACGGGACAAGAAGGGCATGGACCGTGGCATGTACCCATCGTACTTCCTACACCTGGACACGGAGAAGAAGGTTCTAAGAGAGGGGCAGGGGCAGTGTCTGGGGCCTCCCGGGTACCCCAGTTCCACTTTGTCACCTCTCTGTTCCCTTCTCTGCAGGTGTTCCTCTTGGCCAGCAGGAAACGCAAGCGCAGTAAGACAGCCAACTACCTCATCTCCAGAGACCCTACCAACTTGTCCAGGGGAGGGGAGGACTTCATTGGAAAGCTGAGGTGCGGCTGCACTTCCGGGCCACGGCAGTCACCTCTGTGCCACTGTGGCTGGCAGAGTGACCCCACATGGGATGCTCCAGAGGCGTCCTTCAGCCTAGGGCATCTCACATTCTGACAAGCCTGGATGTCTTGGAGACCTGATCTAGATGGTCTTGTGGGCTTGGGATGGGCCCCTGGCTCTGCATGCCAGCATCTCCCCCAAGGGATGGGGACTATGCAGGCCTGACGAAGGCTCTCACAGAGATGGACTCTATCTAGCTCCATAAGGGCAGGGCCCTTGTCATGGAGTGCTACCGGCTCCCACACAGTACCTTCTCTGAGGAGGTGTACTACTGGGTGTGGTGGTATATGATCCCAGCACTTGGTAGTTAGAGAAAGAATTATCAGGAGTTCAAGGTCACCCTTGGTTGTTTAAGGAACTTAGAGATAGTTTGGGCTATGTTAGACCCTGCCCCATTTCCCCCAAAAAAGGAGGAGAGAGAGAAAGGGGATGTAGTTAAATTGAAAGAGAAGAGTATTTGCTTAACCAGGTTTGATCCTAGCACCACATAAAGCAGATACCATGGAACACACCTGTAAAACCAGCAACCAGCACCAGGAGGCAGAGTTCAAGGCCAGCCTGGTCTACCTCGGGAGAGGATGTTTCAAGAGCAAAGGAAAGCAGTATTTACTGAGTGTACGAACAAGCGAAGGGAGACTCAATGTGGCCGGGCAGGCTTCCCTATGGTGGCTCAGCTACCCGCTAGTCTGAAAGGACTTCTTTTTTTTTTTTTTTTAATGTGTAGCCCAGGCTGGCCTCAAAGTCGTGATCCTCCTGCTTCTGCCTCCTTCAGCAAATCCTAGCCGCAAGTGCCACCCCAACTTTCCACAAAAGTCTGTAGGAGCCTGCCCATGCCTCTGGCATAATCTTGAGCACTTTCCAAACATTAACCAGAAATTTCATCCTTTTGCCAAGCAAACCAGAGGAGGATTGTAGCTATTGTAGATTTACAGAGGGGAGGACTCACGGGGTAAGAGTCCTTGCCACCAAGCCTGATGCCCTGAACTCAGTCTCTTGGGACCCACATGATAGAAGGAGAGAACTGGCTCCTGATCATTGTTTCCTGACCCCTGACGGCCGCACACGTGCATTCGATAGGTCAATGATCAAAAGAACCAACTCAAGGGGACAGCTGAGACTCCTATCTCCCGGGCCACAGAGGGAGACAAAATCCGAAATATTTATTTATTTTTTTAGTGTGTGTTTTGCTTTTGTTTTTGAGACAGGAATCTCTGTGTAACAGTCCTGGCTGTCCTCAAATTTACAGAAATCCACCTGCCTCTGCTTCCTGAGTGCTGGGATTAAAGGTGTGCGCCACGATGCCCAGCTTGAATTATTTATCTTATTATTTAGTTTTATTCTGAGTGTGGTGTGCGCAGGTACATGCGTGCTGGTATGTCTGTGTGGAGGTCGGAGGACAACTTTGTGGGCTCAGTTCTCTTTCTGCCTTTTCAGGGCTCAAACTTAGCTCCTCAGCCTATGCTGACCCTTTACCACTGAGCTCCAGCCTTAGTTTTGATTTTTTTTTTTTTTTGAGATAGGGTTTCTCTGTAGCTTTGGAGCCTGTCCTGGAGCTCACTCTGTAGACCTCAAGCTCACAGAGATCCGCCTGCCTCTGCCTCCCGAGTGCTGGGATTAAAGGCCACGCCACCACCGCCTGGCACAGCCTTAGTTTTGATTTTTTTTTTTTTTGAGCCAGGGTCCAGGCTGGTTTGACCTCATTGTGTGGTGGCCAGGTGGCACCTGCCACGCCTGCCAAACGCTACTGCCACACCTGGCTCTATTTTTCTTGCTGCTGGGGATTGAACCTAGAGCCTCAGGCATGCAAAGGAGTGTGCTCCACCACTGAGCCCCACAGCCAGACTGTTTCAAAACAACAGTGATAAGTAATAATTTTAACTGTCCCTTCAAGGGAAGCCTGGATCAAGGCACGTGACATACTCCCAAGACACACACTGCCCCTTGCTCTTGAATTAGGGGCTTGGGGGAAGGGTTTTGGAATGAGAGGTGGTAGGTACCCTCTTGCCTTGGCTCAAATCTTCTCTCACCCTCAGGTCCAATCTCCTGGGCAACCGCTTCACAGTCTTTGACAACGGGCAAAACCCACAGCGTGGCGGAGGTGTGGACGTGGGGAGCCTGCGCCAGGAGCTGGCAGCTGTTATCTATGTGAGAAGCCACCGTCCCCACCATGTCCGGCTCTCCTCGGGTAGGATGCAGCCTGATGGCCATCTCTCTCTTTCAGGAAACCAATGTTCTAGGGTTCCGAGGACCCCGTCGCATGACTGTCATCATCCCTGGGATGAACTCGGACAATGAGAGGGTCCCTATCCGGCCCCGAAATGTGAGCCTCTCCCTCCCTAGTCTTGCAGGAACCTTGCAGGCTGGGTGAACCCTGGGTCTCAGAGACCGATGACTGGCATGTCCTATGCTCCTGGGTGACTGATGTCACTTCAGTCATTTACAGTGAAAAGTAACAACCCTGTCAGCTGCCCATTCATGCTCCCTGCTAGGAGGCCAAGCTGCCTTTGGAGGCCACGCTAACCAGGAAGCTGGGCCTGGCAGGTTTTGTGGACTCCTACTTCTGAGGCCCATCAGTAAGAACCAAGGTTCAAACGGGACACAGCAGTGATCAGAACACTAGCTGCTGGGCTGGGGTGGCTCACCTGACAGGCACGAGGCACTGGGTTCTGTCCCCAGTGCCACAAAAACCAGGCATTGTGGTTCACGCCTCTAATCCCAGCACTCAGGAGGTAGAGCAAGAGGATTAGTAGTACAAGGTTATCCTCAGCTATACAGGGAGTTTGAGGCCAGCCTGGGCTATGTAGGACCCTGACAACACATACACACACATACACATATACATAACACACATAATAATAATAATAATAATAATAATAATAATAATAATAATAATAGAGGGGTCTCTGTCAATAACATACCTGCTGTACACGCATGAAGGCCTGAGTGGAGATTCCCAGTATCCATGTAAAAGCTGAGCACACTGATGTGTACCTGTACCCCAGCACCGGGCAAGTGGAAATGGGTGGATCCCCAAATGCACTGATTACCCAGCCTAGCTCAATCAATGAGCTCCAGGTTCAGTGGGAGACTAGGACATGAAGAGTGGCCCACGACTCCTCCTGGGTGCCAGTTGCGTCTTTCCACTCTCTGCCAGAGCACCCGCCCCCTTTAACAAGACCTGCTCTCAGCGCTGTTCTCCCTGTGTCTGCTGAGACCCTCTGTGGACATTGCAGTCCAGGCTGAACAACAGCTGCACAGCCATCCTGGCCCACGGAGCCACGGAGCACAGCCAGCTCTAACCATCCTTTCTCTGTTACCTCCCCTTGGCGCCCCAGGCCAGCGATGGACTGCTGGTGCGCTGGCAGAACAAGACGCTGGAGAGCCTCATCGAACTGCATAACAAGCCGCCCATCTGGAACGAAGACAGTGGCTCCTACACCCTCAACTTCCAGGGCCGGGTCACCCAGGCCTCCGTCAAGAACTTTCAGATTGTGCATGCCGATGACCGTGAGTGTCTGAGGGCCCTCTCTCTTCCCCTCTTGATTCTGGTTTGGGAGAGGGCTCAGAGAGTTTGAGTAAAAGTCTTGGGGTTCACTAGGACAAGTTTGTGACCTAGCCTTGGCCAGGATCGTTGGGTAGATGGTGGAACATTCCCAATGGTATCATTTATGAGGGGAGGGATGAAGGCTGGAATCTGGGGACCACCTAGAGTTTAACCCCTTGGTGTGTAGTCAGCGGTGGCACCCAAGACCACAGAGCAGAAACAAGAGTTAGAAAGTATTGTTTTCATGATAATTGTCTTAAAAGAAGATCTCACTATATAGTTCTGGCTGTTCTTAAACTATCTATGAGGACAAAACTGGCCTTAAACTCACAGAGATCCCCCTGCTTCTGCTTTCCCAATGCTGGGATTAAAGGTATGGTCACCATACCCTACTAAAATAGAGGATTGTCTTTGGTGGGGGGGGGCGGGTAATGGACTTTTTGTTTTTCAAAACAGGGTTTCTCTCTGTAACACATCCTGGAAACTCTTTGTAGACCAGGCTGGCCTCAAACTCACAGAGATCCACCTGCCTCTGCCTCCCAAGTGCTGGGATTAAAGTCGTGCGCCACCACCGCCCGGCGGATTATCTTTTAAGAACAGGATAGCTAGGGCTTGGGGGAGATATCCACCACCTTCTGTGTCTGTGTGTGTGTGTGTAGTCAGAGGACAACCTGCAGGAGCTACTTCTCTCCCCTCATCAGTTGATCCCAGGAATCAAATGAATTTGACCTGAAGGTCACCAGACTTTGCAGCAAGCACCAAGAGTAGGAAATATGGACCATGAATTTCTAAGTGTCTAGGACTTTTTTTTTTAAGATTTATAATTTTATGCTGGGCGGTGGTGGTGCACACCTTTAATCCCAGCACTCAGAAGGCAGAGGCAGGCGGGTCTCTGTGAGTTTGAATCCAGCCTGTTCTACAGAATGAGTTCCAGGACAGCTAGGGCTATTCAGAGAAACCCTGTCTCGAAAAACAAAAACAAAAATAAGATCTATTTTTTTATGTGTGTATGACTGCATGAATTATGAGCACCTTGTGTGTGCAGGTGCCCACAGAGGCCAGAGGGTATCAGATCTCCTGGAACTAGAGTTACAGGCAGTCTTCTGGGTGCCGGGTCCTCTGCAAAAGCAGTCAGTGCTCTTAACTGCTGTGCCATCTCTCCAGCCCTCTGCTTTTTCTGACAAACTGCCCCTGCGGACTTATTTAGGGAACCAAGATCTCCAGGGCATGAACGTCCCTGTCCTAGCTTGGGCAAGAGGTTCCACAAAGGGTTTGGCCAGTACCATGCAATCCACCGCCCCCAGTCCTATTGCTGTCCCCAGTATCTCATGTCCCCAGGCCTTGGGACTGCTCACCAGGCCAGTTCCTGTGGGAGCGTGGTCCGCCACCAGACCAGGTTGGAGGGGTTTTTGTTTTAAAATAGCTTCCTATCCCTATTCAGGCTGGGAGAGAGGTGCTGAGATCAGGCTGGGAAGCCAGTTGGGTGGTGGTCTTGCCTGTTACCCCAGTGACCAGCCTGGTCCTCTTAGATTCAGGACAGCCAGGGCTTTTGGGAGGGAGGTAGCAGGAGGATTAGGAATTCAAGGCCTGCCTTGGCTACTCGGAGAGAAAAGGGTGAGGTGAAGGGAAGGGTGTGGAAAGAGGCTGATTGATTAAGAGTGGCTGGAATTGATAGCTCCAGAGCAGGAGAGGCCTGCACTCCACTCCTGGTTAGAGAAGGACCTGAACCAGGGTCAAATGTGGGCCTTATGAACTGGGGCTGGGCAGAGGAATGAGGCCAAAACTGGACAACGGAGGGAAGGGTTCTGGTTTGGGCAAGTTTGTCAGGGTCCTGTACTGCTAGATTACAGATTTGCTGTAGCCCTGGGCAGACGCTGATAAGGTGGGGCTCCTGCCCTGCGGACTTGGTGTGACGACCCTACACAGGCGGGGCTAGTTGGAGCGGGGCTAGTCGGACGACTTCTAGTAGGGAAAGTGGCCCGAGGCTGCCTGGGGGCTGTGACACCAAATCAAGGAAAAGGACCTCCCGGTGTTATGGGGTTGCCTGTCAAGAGAGGGCCTGAGGTCACCCCATTGTCGTTCACAGCCGACTACATAGTGCTCCAGTTCGGCCGCATAGCCGAGGATGCCTTCACTCTGGACTACCGGTACCCGCTGTGCGCCCTGCAGGCCTTCGCCATCGCCCTTTCCAGCTTCGACGGGAAGCTGGCCTGCGAGTGACCCCACAACCCCTCAGCGCTGGGAAAACACTCAGCTGGGGGTGATAGGGTCCCTCCCCAACAGCCCGCGTACCCCTAGCCTGGCACCGGCCAGGCGAAGGAGCTCTGACTGGGATGGAGATGACCATCTGGTCGCAGAATAGCAATGCCTGCCTCGCCCCCTCCTCCACAGCCACTTCCTGCCCGGGAGCCCGAGTCAGACGTTCGAGGCCCCTCCAGGACTTAACTGGGGGAAACGGAGAAGCGGGGTCCGAGACCCACATTCTCAATAAAGTTACATCCCAGACTGAACGCAGCGGTAATTCCCGGATGCGTGCTTGTAGACCCAGGTGCCCAGGCGTGCTCTGAGCTCCCTCCCTTGTATCCTTCTGTCCTATGGATCCTCAGCAGGACCTCAGGGTCTGGCCCCCGACTCTCCAAGCAGCAGGGCGGAGAGGGAGGGGCCCCAGAGGTCCAGGAAGAGGGAGAAAGGGAGAAATTCGAGAAACAAGCCACTCGGGGAGAACCAGACAAACCGGGTCCGGGCAGGGCGGAGCCGGGTCTGGGGCCCCGGAATGGGGGGGGGCGGGCTCTCGGTGGGAGGAGCGCTGCAGAGGCCTCGACTGCGGCGGACCCGAGTGGAAGGGTGGGGAACCCCGAGACTCCGGGCGCCGCTTGGCTGCACGAAACGCGGTTTCCCAAGACCCCCGACACCTTCAAGAGTCCGGCCCAGGGGGCAGAGCTCCGCTTTTGGCTCCGCCCCAGGCCTGATCCCTAAGATTCAGCGGGGTACCCGAAAGGGGGTTGCGTAGGTGGGGACTCTGAGATGGCGAGTGAGAACTGGGGTGCGCGGGAGGGCGAATCCACAGTGACGGGCGTTCTTGGGGCTGGGTGGTCAGAGACCGCAGGCCCGGGCCCGCCTTAGACCACGCCTCCACACTGACACCGCCCATTCACGACCCCGCCCAGATCTAACCCCGCCCACAGGTCCCGCCCCTCTAGCCCGCAGCCCCCACCCCCCGCCCGGCTCCTCAACACAAACTTTCCGTCCCGCTCGCTCCCTCCTCCGCGCCCAGCACCTCCCGCTCCGGCCCGGCTCATTCCGTGCATTCCGGCCATCCCCCTGCCCACGACCCCCCTTCCTGGCCCCCCTTGCTACTCCCTCGGGCCCGGAGGAGCGGCCCGGCGGAGCGCCCCCCGGAGCTCGGAGCAGGTAAGCCCAGGGGACACAACTCGGAGGCCTCGCGCGCGGAGGTGACTGCTCGGGTGGCTTCTGGATGGCGGGGACCCGAGACACCCTGGGGGCGCTGAGCTATTGTCCAGCCTGCGCCCGAGCCCAGGACCTGGGTGCCGGGAAGTTTGGAGGGAAGGGGGGGAGACGCTCTCCGGGAAGCCCCGCCCACTCACCCCACCCCCCCGCGACCCGAAGGCTGGGAAGCCCGGAGTGTCCCGGGTGCCCGGGCCTGGCCCCGCCGAGTGCCGGGGTGTGCGCCCGGAGCCGCGGGCTTGGAGGGCCTGCCGCCGGGACTCGTATCCGGGGCGCCCTTTGGACTCCGGGAACCCGCGGGCCCCGGCTCCACGCAGGCCTTGGCCAGGGCGCGTCGGTGTGAGCACTGCTCGCGGCTGCACTGGGACCCGGCCGGGCGTCGGGAAGCTACACTGCGAGCCCGGAGCGTGTGCGCACCGAAGTGGGACGCCTGTCTCCTCCAGTTCTGCGGGCCGCGTCGGGGCGAGGGCTTGAGAGTGTCAGCTCTAGCCCAGGAGTCTCGCTCCGGACGCGACTTCATTTGGGGCCTTCTCCGCAGAACTTGTTAAGGCAATTAAGGGAGTCTGGGCTTCCCTTCCCACTCGGGTCCTCTCCATTGTCCGTCACGTCTTTATTCCTTCTTGGGAAGGGAGGCCGGAGCGCTGGTGTGGATCTGTTTTCTAGCCCCAGCAGGCCCTGGGGCAGTGTCACTGAAGCCCCTACTCTACTCCCACCCCCAATAGGGGCCCTGATTGAGGGCTTAGATTCTTAAAGAGCAAGAGGGAACGCGGTCCGGGGCCGGGCTTCTCAGGGCCTGTGTCCCGAGCTCTCCAGGTAGGGGCAGAACCAAGTCAGGCCTGGACTTGTAGCCCAGCGGAGAGAATGGGAGTGGGGGCTGGACACGGCTCTGAGGGGCTGGTGTCTATGGTGGCCCCGTGTATTCGCGCTCCCGTGGCCTGGTTCTGTGCACACGGTTCCGCCTCCGTGCTGGGGTCTAGGATCCGCCCCCCCCCCCCCGCTGAGGATTGTTGTCGCCTGGGGCCAGGAGGGAAAGCAACTAGAAGGTGGAGGTTTAGGGAGACTATGGCTCTGTCCTTCCTAGCCCCCGGACCTCCATCGGAGACTCCCTTCTCCACTCTTTTTCAGAGTACTTGTTAAATCAATTGAGGGCAGCTGGTCTTCCCTTCCCACTCGGCTGTTCCCCATTGTCTGTCACGCTTTTTATTCCTTCATGGGAAGGACGGGGGTTCTACTCACGGAGTGGGCAAAAAGAGTAGCCAGGCCTTCACCACCCCCAGGGAGGGAGCTGTAATTAATGCTAATTAGCACTTTGGGGTTGGGGATGGTGGAACAGAATGGTCAGTGGTTGGCAGGAGATCTCTGAGTGTGTGCACACACACGTAGGTGAGTGTCTATCCAGAGGCCTGCACCCACGTCACTGTGAGTTTTTACATCCTAGCCTGCTATGTTGTTGGAGAGAAGAGACAGCTCTACAGAGGTCAGGAGACAGGTCTCAGGTCCCTTGATGGGCCAGTTGTGTGGGTGATTCCCCAGGTGCCTAATCCCTGAGCCCCGCAGAGGCTTGTCCCCCTCGCTGCCTCAGTCTCCCTTCATCGTGGAAGCTGAACTTTGAGGGGTCTGGAGAGGTGGGTGGGTGGCCCCTGGTGGAGCAAAGAAGGCGGGAGGGTAAAGTCTTGGGGGGGGGGGCTTGTAGTTAAGGCAGGATGAGAGGTAGGTAACCTGAAGTAGTAGTGAAATGACAGGGAGGCCGTGGAATTGGGGGTGCTTGCTCTTGTAAGTGGGGTTCAGAGGCCACTGGGTGGCTGCCTCCAGCCTCAGTCCCAGAGCCTTTCAGGCTCCCTAGGGCTCCACGTAGGAGCTTGGGGAACAAAGCACCAGGCCTGTCTGTGCTCAGAGGATGCAGTTGCTGAGGGTTGGAGGGTGGATTCCTGCTTGAGGGACCAGGGGCCAGGAGGCCCTGACTACCAGGCTGGTCCGAGGCTCTCAGGAAGTCCCAGCCTTGTCCCCCGTGGGTCACAGGAGCTGTAGCAGCCCTAGGACCCCTCCTAAGCCTCTCTGGTTAGAGCTGGGGATCAGAAGGTTGCTGCGGTCCCTGTGGGTACTGTTGCCCTGTGCGGGCGCTACCTGTCTCCAGTCCCAGAATCCAGACCCAACTCCCCAAAGCCTCAGCCCTTGGGGTTTCCTCGAGTGCTGATTGTTTCCTGGATTCCCTGCCAGGCCTGAAAGGGCAGGAAGCGATAAGAAACGAGAAAGCAGCCGGGTGTGACTGCATTGTAGCATCCGAGAGGAGCTTGAGGGGTCGTCTGTGAGGGAAGCGCTGTCCAGCAGGTACCTGTGGGAAAGAAGCCAGATACAGATTTTGTGAGCACTCGTGGGAAAAGCTGTCTGTGGCAATACGTGTGAAAACCACTGCGGTGTTCTCCATCCTTGTGGTCACGAGAGAAACGGAGAACCTGGGCTGGCGAGATGGCTCCGAAGCTTAAAAAAAAAAAAAAAGTGGTTGAGCCAAGCTTGCCAACCTGTGTTCAGTGTCCAGACCCCACACGGTGGGAAGAGAACCCATGACTCTTTGGGGTGTAAGTCAGCTGGGGAGTGGAGATTTCTCTGTGTGCGCCTGTGTGTATCCGAGAACCTGCCAAGGTGACTTTCTGTTGTTGGGCATCACGCTGGGATAATTGTGATGAAAATTGTGTGTCTGTGGGTACCACTGGCAGTGTGAGGGACAGTGATACTGTGGTTCCATGCGAGGGGCCTCCCTGTGACCTGTCATGCCACGGTGCTGCCTGTTGTGAAATGAGTGAGGTGGCCTTGGGTTTGTCTGTGTGACTGTTTATGACACTGTACCTGAGCACAATGACAGGATCCACTGATGTGTATGAGGGTGCCAGTGGCAGCCCGGGAGAGACAGCCAGAGTGTGAGAAACTGGGGTGTGACTGAGATTGACACCGTGGGTGGTCACTGTCTCAGCTTGTGTGGGTGACATCCTCAGGGCTACGCCACACAGGGTGTGGGGGCCAGTGACCCCAATGCATGCGGCATCTATCTGGAAGACCTTGCAAAAGATACCATCAAGTTGGGTGTGGTGGTGTGCACCTTCTGAAGCAGAGGCAGGGGGATCTCTGAGTTCCCGAGTTCAGCCTGGTCTACAGAGCGAGTTCCAGGACAGCCAGGGCTCCATGCCCAGTGGGATTCCGGCACTAGGGAGACCAAGTGAGGCGCAGCTTTAAGGCTAACCAGGCTAACCAGGGCTGTACAATGAAACTCACTCTCCGACAGAAGTCTAACATGGTAGATATTATAGGTATTTTTTTTTCCAATCACACTGCAGTCCCCAACACTTGAGAGGCTGAGGTATGAGGATGGTGGGTTCAAGTGCAGCCACAGCTACAAAGTGAGACCTTATCTCAAAACCCAATAAGAACAAAAAAAAAAAAGAGGAGTTAAAATGATAAATTTATGTTATAATATACATAACCTTAATTTGAATTTTTCCTCACACTTGTAAACCCCGACACTTGGGAGTTCCACAAGTTTGAGGGTGATCTAGGTTACACGAGTGAAGACCCGCTTTCAAAAGTGGGTGTTGGGGTCAAGGAGATGGCTCAGTGGGAAGAGGTGCTTGCGGCTCAGCCTGATGACCTGAGCCTGATCTTGAGAACCTATGGGATGGAAGGAGCTTAGGATTAACCTCCACACTGTGCTTGCTAGCGCTCTCTCTCACACACACACATGAATAAATAACACTATGACTGTATGTGAACATGAATATATATATATTTAAAACACAGGGGGTTACACGGTAAGGTGGCTGCTGCCTCCTGTGTTGGAAGAGGGACAAGGTGGCAGCCTGTGTGCTCATAGAAGACACTGAGACTTCCCTGACATCGCTGATTGCTGGCA